AAAGTTAAAAACAATGAAGAAATATTTAGAATTCTCTAACTATCAATAGAATTTTCAGTGTCAGTTTTAATAAGGTGCCACTATATTAAATGAAACTCAATGATAATAGGCTGGGTTATCCGATAATGGAACAATCACAACTTTTCGGATCAATAATAACATTGAGTGTTCCGAGTGAAAACGGAAGTGGTTCATGAAATACCAAATGGGAAAATGAACAATTTTAACCGACTTCCCGGTCCATAGGCTTTGTTTAATTTCATATTTAATAAGTCAAATCAAGCTTCAAATCAAGCTTCCTAAGAAATAATGCTTTTTTTCATAATTCCAAACTTTTTTCATGGATTCCTTACCATTAAAATTCTACAAGTTGACCTGTGCTTTTCTTACATCTTAATGATTTTGAAACAACATATTTGTTTTTTGTTTACTTTTCATGCCTTTTCAGATTTTAAACACGTGTTTTATCATATAATCTGTCACTTCTTTTAAGAAACAAGTGAAAACAGTTCAATTTTTCTAAGGTGTTGAAACAGTAACTGTTGTTTTTTTGTTGCTATTCGGATTGTTTCTTCTGAAAGGCTATTATACCAGCCAATGGTGAAAATGTTGTGTGTGGATGTGGGGGGGGGGCGGGGGCGTGGTAGAATTAACCATCTCTACATTGAAGCTACATTGTACATGATGATGCATATCTATGAATGTGACATTGTGTATACATTTATTCCTGTTTGGTTATATTCCGTCACTGACAGTGGTATGTATGGCAAGTTAACCATTTTTCACAAGTTGTGTATCATAATTATGACATAAAGAATTACTTTAGTCAAAGAAATTCAAACATTTTTCACTGAATCGAGGGAAAAAACTTGTTTCATTATTGTTGTTGTTGCGTTCTATTTTTACCGTGAAAACCCAGACGCGGTTTCATTGGCTACTTTAATCGAGGACATTAATTATCTGATTGGATAAGGCTAACAGGTGCTCGACTGGTTTTAATTTTGCGTTCATTATCTCGTTGTTTGGAATATTTTATTTACGACGCAGTCTATTGGACAGAAATCTGTCCAATATGCTTGGGGGTTTCCTGATCCCATTATGGGCAGCCATCTTGGATGGGAACCATAATAGGACAGGGAACCAGATTAAGGGATTAGCTGTTAAACTGACAAAATAGACAGAAATAAAAATCCCTAAAGAAAGCCCAACTCGACACCACTGAAAATGTTGCAGGCTCGGTTTGATTGAGCCTGTTCATGGACGGTACTGTCAAGTGCAAACTACCGTCCACGCCCCTAGCACCGGCTTAAGCAGAATTCAACATTTAACATGAACTGGTAAAATTTAGAATTTTGAAGCATCCGCAGATGTGTTCATATGGCGGTTTTCATGGAACTTTCAATGTGACACGTTAGTGCCATTCCATGAAAAGCGGCATATGGTCCCCAAGTAAAAATATGTGTGTGCCCTAAACGAGAAAACAATGGGCGCAACTAAACAAAATGAGCCTGCAATTTCGTAAAAATAATATCACAATGCACATGCTTTTTACATAAAATTATTAAATACAAATATAACAACATGTTTGTTTACTTGATTTTTATGAATCAAAATAAAACTGCTTGACACAACATGACATTTACTGCTAATAATAACAGCTCCTTCCATAGGCCAAAATATAAAGAATTCCATAAGAGACGACGCCGCTCACCGGCGTCGCCAATAAGAATAGCAATTCATACTGAAATAGAATATATATGATTATCTCCTGTTGACCACTGCCATTTTTAACTTCATTAAAAGATGTTTAACCTCATTAAAAGAGTAAGTATAATAACTGCTGTCTCTAAAGTAAGCTAGACTAAGTGACGCTGAGAGACACCAGTCACTTGTTGTTGTTTGTTTGTTTTTTTTAGGGGGGGGGGGGGTAAAGTTTTAAAAATTGAGTACCTCTCAAGCCGGAGCTATGAGGCGTCAGGGATGTTGCACTTTTCATGGTCCCTGATGTACAGACTCAATCAAACCGAGTCTGCAATTTTCATGTAATTTTGCTGTTTTAATGCTTCCGATGGATCACTTTTTTCCGAATATTTATACATCACAACAGCAGGTGTCAAGTGCTATGCGGCAACCGTAAAAAATTGCCCCGTTCTTCACTTCAGTGTTGTTATATTTGATTGCTCCTTCGGGATCATTGAGTACATCACTTTTAAGTGATGAGCATTTAGTACCGCTCAAGTCGGTGCTCGGGGACATGAGGGATGTTGCACCTTTTCATTATCCCTCATGTACAGACTCAATCAAACCGAGTCTGCAATTTTCATGTTATTTTGCTGTTTTTCCTGTTTCTGAGAGATCACTTTTTCAGATATTTGTTCAAATAACTTAATTACATGCTTTTCGGTGATTTATAGAAATATATCAGTTAAATATTAAACTGATATTCTGACTGTTTGAAACAATGAAAATATCAATTTGATACTTTTTACTGTTTTGAATTTAAGCCCGTTATGTCCTTCAAGTGAAATTATATCGTGCACAGTACCGGAAATCAACTTAATTACCTGACGACGTTAATGACTTCACGTTGTATTATTATTATTTGGCGCGCTTCTCATTTAGTTATAGGTTAAAATGTCTTTTAAAACGTTTCTCTTTGCATATAATAAAAAGAAAATGTGTTTAGTTTAGTATAAAATCGAAATGTATTTCACCTCGTGAACACCAAAGGTTCATATTTCGCTCATGGCTTCGCTACTTCTGAACTATACCTTTTCGTGCTCACTTGGTGAAATATAGTCAGATCTAACACTGAACTAAACAAATGCCCACTGTATCTTCTATATATGTCTAACAATATGAAAAATAGCGGAACATTATCTTTTGGCCAAATTCTGATATAATGCACATGTTTATTCGAACAGTTACAGCTTATCTTTATAATGCAGCAATTTTTGTTGTAAAACTTTTAACCAGAAGTGAAGTGTACCTTAATACCACGCCCAGCATTTTGTTCGATGTATCTAGTTGCTTTTTAATGCAACAAGCTTGCTTGTGTTTCTTTTAGACATTATCAATTAAAAAAGGTATTGATACATCCTTATTCTGGTTCATATATAGTGTACTTCAATAATAAAGCCACCTTAAAAATTGTTTTTCAACATTGTTTTTCTTTTCTGCGCACCCTGCTCCTTTGGAATGTGAAGAAACCTGTCGAGTTCAATCATGTGTGTACTCTGATTCCTGGACTAACCAGTACTGGGGCCACATAATGATAGTTTCCCCAATAGGACACAACATCCAGGATAATTGTGTACAGCTACAGATCGCAAAGTTGCCTTTCAAAGAAACCAATTTATGTACATTTTTGTAAATGATGAATAAAACATCGATGTTGTTTTGCAATTTTATTTTTTATTAAATATATGGACTATGATGTATGTAAGGATTGAACATAAATTCATAAAAAGTAAAACATATCATACTTGCAATCAGTATTGATATAATTGAACTTATAATGTACAAGCATGTATATAACAAAATGTGCACGTACATATTTATCTCCCTTTTCAAAATAACATTACTGTAATACAGTAATCTTAATTCTTATATATTTTTTTTTAATTTTAATTCTAAAACTTGTAAAATGGTCAATTCTTCCATTTCAATAAAATTAAGATAAGATATAGAAACTGTCCAATAAAACATATAATTATATGCAGTAAATATCAGATTGGTTATTAACCAACTTTATATCAATAAAAAAACAAACAACCTATAATCTTGCTTGTTTTGTAAGAAGGAAAATATGAAGTTTCATGTCCAAACATCATATGAACTTAAAAGTTGCTCTACACAAAAATTAAGTCTTAACTATAACAAAGCCAAAGGGCAATAACTACAAAATAATGACGCTGCATATACCTCAATAAGATATACTCTAACAAAATCGTTTTAAGTAGATTGTAACCTCCAATTATGTACGAGGTTTTCCAGGCAAAAAGTAAGATATGAAAATTTACAATGCAGATGATTAATAACTCTAAACATGTACACAAGGGAGCGATTTAGCTCAATGGCTAAGAACAAAAAAAAAAGCATTCCAAACTTTTAAAGGGCTTTAAGTCTTAAATGTGTTTCAAGAGGGTATGGTTTTTATACACTGCATGAAATCTATCTATTTATGAATTTTCGAGTTTATAACTTCACCATGAAGTGTAATTACTCTAAGCCAAATCATAAATTTTTGAGTTTAAAGAAATGTTCTTTATTGAGATCAATTCATTTGTGAATTTCTTATGTCGAAGGCAAAAAAAAAACTTTTTTAAATATGATGCAGACATTAATATAGTTTACATAGTATAAAGGGCAGTAACTCCAAAATCAAGAAATACAGAGTTATGGATCATCAGCACTGCACTATTCCCAAAGGAGATATGATAATCGTCTATGTTTTATGGTGATACCTCATAATCTTTAAGTTATGCTCCAGACAAATTAAGTAAGAAGTACAATGGGCACTTAACCATAACCTATAAGGAGTATGAGATCTTACCATACATAAAGTTGACAGCTTCTATACATTTGAGAAATGGCCGATAACGGCTGGCCAGCCTGCTGGACAAATTAACTGATTCCAGTAGATACCTTCTTTACAACTTCGTCGTGTGAGGATATAATTACTGATATGTATTTATGGAGGACGTGTGCTATGTTGAATACGTTCTTATTACAAAAATACTTATCTTTGTAAATTATACAAAATCGTACTAAGAACACTATATACATAAATACAAAAATATCTCTTAAAGTAACAAGAGGGCAATGATGTCCTTTATTCTCTCAACTAAAATTGATTGATATTGAGCAAGCTGAATTGAAGTTAACAAGACAATGTAACATAAAAAATGAGCTCTATGGAGTGACCTTTGAGAGGAGAATAACTTTAAGGATGCTCCCTTTATGGGTCTTTACAAAATAGAACTCTACGGTGGGATTAATTGTAATTCCTGCAACTTTGTAAAATTTTGCTGGAAAATTTAACAAAACAAATATCTTATCTGTAGGCCTTACGTTTTTGTAAAGGAAAGATTTTATAGGTTACAATTGTTAGCTTCTGTGACACAGATATGAAATGGATATACCATTTTATCAAGTTAAGAAGATCTTTAAAATGAATGAAATATCCTAGCAAAAGCTCCTCAAACTTGATCAAGAGTCGAGGTTACCGAGTTGACGTTATTTAAAGTAACTGTAAACCATAGACAATGGATATCTAACAATCCTAACAGCTAACTACAGGTAAACTAAAATCACAGGAGATACAGGTACTAGTAATCTATTTAAAGATCCTGTAACTCAATTATTTTATGGTTTTGTATCATACATATGAAGCTCAAATGAAGATTTATCAATATTGCAAGTACTAAAAAGTATTACTTGTAAAGATATTAAAGAATCTAAAGATATTACCGAATTAACATTATTTTCAATAAAGGGAGGAAATTAGAAATTTATTTTCGATAAAGTCTTAGCCAAATTTTTCAAAAAGACATGAATTCATATATTTAAATGATTACTTATAATGCGAATAAACATTTGTAGAACATATTAAACAAATTCTTTGATGTTTAAAAATTATTTTAGACAAATAATTATATACATATAAAATTTCACTTAACTGTTGTTACATCCTTAAATACAGCATACAGGATCTTTAAATCTATGTCATTCGTAAAAAGTACATGTTTTAATCAACATAAAGAAAAATAGCATTATGAAATATTTCTAAATCTCTAAAAATGTATTCTTCGCTTATGGGAAAGTAATAAAACACACAGGGTACAAAATGGATGAACATAAATAAAACACATGACATTCGTTACAAACATAACTTTTTTCGAAATGTTTATATATTTTTTTTTTGCTGAAAAATGGTAAAAATTAGAAAATTAAGTCTGATTACAAACATGTTATATTGTTGTAATAAAAATGTCACAGTAGTTCTATTTGTAAAAAACAACAAAACTTTTTTTGCTTTTGAAATGTGAAAATATAAACCAAAAGTTATAGACAATGACATAAGAGTTACAGCTGTTATATGTCTTACATAAATATTATGTTCATTTTTCTTGGCATAATTCTTGTAATAAAATATAAATATTTCAATAATTTTCGTTCAGTTTTACTCTTTCTCAAACAGAAATAAAATAATTAAAACTAAATAAAACCAAACAATAGCATACCAAATATCAAACTGTGCATTAATTCAATTATTTACATAGACAATAAAAAGATATCCTTACAACATTGATTATAAAATGACGCTTTTTGACACCATAGTAACAAGACAATATCCCATCCATCTGGATGCATGCTTATTTTGTTACATGAATGTATGAGCTTTCTTTATTATATATACATAGGTAATACACATGCCATTTTCTGATCACTGAGTATAAATTATGTACATGTTTATATACATACTAGTTTGAAAATGAGATATACAGTAACTCAAACACAGGTAAGAACTTATAGATAACTATAAAGTAAAACATCTGTATATAATTGAGTGAAAAAAAACCGACCAATTCTTGCTTAAACATGGATAAGCAATACGGTCTGACTAGAAGCAATACATTGATAAATTATGTACAAATATACAGATCAACCTATAACTGATAAAAACATCTGAACAGAACTAATAATGATTTGTATTTTCTTGCAGATAAAGACATAAGTATACTATGAAGAAATGTTATAGATGGTACAGCCAATTGTAAATGAAAATAAATCGTACAATACTGCAAAGTTGATTTTTTTGTATTAACTTTATACCATTTAAGTACGCATCTATTGAAGTTTTGAGATACATTTTCCTTCTTTTTTCTGTATTGCAAAGAAGGCAGTTTTTTATATTCCGTATTTTAAATTTTTGAAAGTTTATAAGGTCAAGTATGAAAAAGTTTGCTGTATAGCCAGAAAGCTATTATATTAACATTACCGCCCTGTTTTATCTAGGTCATATAACTTGTTAAATTATTAGTAATAATGATTTTTTTTACCTTTATTTAGATAATTATAACCATTAGCTAAATACAAGATATACACTTCCGCTATTGTTTTTATAGTTATACGAGGATTGATCAAAAAGTTCTCGGCCCGATGTACTTCCGGTATAGTCAGTGAACCCAACAAATGGTCTTACTTTTCAAAATTACCGCCCTCTACATAAATGCACTTTGCCCACCTGTGTTTCAACTCTCTATTTTGGTCCTCAAAGAACTCATTTACCGCCTCCATGATACCTCCATTGCTTTAACATTTTTGTTTTCAGTATTTTTTCATTAGAATATCCAATCACTTACATCTTACACTTTAAATCACTTACATTGTTATCAATACTTAAGGAAAATGTGCCCATTGAAAACCAATCCACTTTAATAACAAGTTTCAATTTTTGTTTTCTCAAGGTATGTGCAAAAATTCACAAACACATTTTTCTGAAGGAAATCTTGCATATTTGTCAGTGATGTTGGTAAGAAATTTCTTTTTAGATGTAAATTCTTGTTGAAGAAAACAGGTGTAAGGTACAAAGAATGCAAAAGTTTGCTAGCCGGTGCTAGGGGGCGTAGACAGTAGTTTGCACTTTACAGTACCGTCCATGAACAGGCTCAATCAAATCGAGCCTGCAACATTTTCAATTTTGTCGTTTTGGGCTTTCTTTAGGGATTCTTATTTTCTCTTTTTTATATGCATTCAGTTCCACAAAAAAGTTCCTTGAATTATTTCTATTAATTATTATAATAAGTATTTTTGTTTATAAACAATTGTCACTTTATTTATTAATTGAAAATTGAAGTAATTGTATGTCCTAATTAAAGACTATAGTGAAGTTTGAAGAGCCGCCATTTTGATTTTAAGTGTCCATATACAATTTTGTTAATTTAAAACTATTGTAGAAATTTCTTCAGTTTATTACACAATGTTCTTTCTTTTTATTCTTTGCTTGGTTTTACTGTTTTAAACTCAAACCAATCGCCTTCTTGTATCACAAGAAAAGTTTGTGATCTCCGAATATTTTCTCTAACACATTTATATTCTGCTTCCGGTTTAATGGCGATCATCTTTACTGTAACTGATTGCGGCAGAATTTCCAGCACGGTAATGAAGTTCTGTAAACCTCCTGCAGACATTTCTACATACCTCAACACCACACGTTCAATATTCAACATGTCTCGTGACAGTAGCAATGAATTTTCATCCAGATTGATTCTCCACAACGTAACATTAACTAACGACGGTGTTGTTATATTTAATTGCAGCGTAGGAGACTCTCGCAAAAATAACTTTGATAGAGTTAAATGTTTAGACAAGTCCAAATTCAATTTCTTACAATCATGGCGGCCATGTTCTTTACAGTCTAACCAGTTGAATGTTAACTCTTTCATTGATTTTTGACCGGAGATAAAATTGAAGAATGTTTCCAGTATTTTGTGAGACAATGTGAAGTATCCAATGAATAGATAGTGTAGGTTTTGACATCGCGCAAAGTTTTCACTTGGATTTTCTTCATCATTTATCCATTTACCACGCCAAAAAGATACGTTCTGTAAACTGGGCATCAATATCCGATTTATCTCAGCAACCATATTGTTGTCACCATAATAGAAAAGTTTCTGTATATGACTGAGATCTGTGAGAGAGAATAAATCTATAATTTGATGTAAACTGCTTGAAGTACGGCTGATTTTTATATAAAGTGATTTTAGGCTGGTTTTGTTTGGTTTTAACAAACGTGGTAACTGCTTACTGTGCATGGTCTTAGTGTCAATAAAGGTTATGTTTTGTTTTAACAAACGTCGTTGTAACTGCTCACTGTCAATAAAAAAATCTTGTAACCATAATTTAATATTTTCACTTTGAGGCATTTCATGTAAATAGGACATGAACATTTTCTGTATGTGATACAATGGATTATCGTACATGTACACTACACCTTTCCTAGTTCTATAGTCGCGTGTTTTCTTGTCTTCATTTATCACAGACATCAAAGCATTTGATATTGCACACATCATGTCAGGATTCAAAAATTCAAAACATTTTGACATGCCCAGAATGTCTTGAACATTTTTACATTTTTCTAGAACACTCTTAGAATCCATAGATATGGCGGCAAAGAATTCTTGCACTGTTTTGTGAGAAAACGATACTTTGATACTTTCTTTGATTAAAGTTTTACTTCTACTTTCTGACAATATTCCTGAGAGAAGACTTAATTTCATGTCGTCTGCATTGAGATATTTTTCAGCAACCGTTCTATCAAAAACCAGGGTGTTTTCTTTAGTTTCGTTAAATAATGTTTCGAAAGCTAGTTTTCCTAATGATAATAAAAGGCTGTAAAACTTTTTACAAAATGCATGACTTTTGAAGTATTCTGGAATTTCACTTGTAGACGATTCACGAGATGGTTGAACTTCCGGGTGTTTCTTTGACGTTCTCGATAATAGAAATTCAATGATATTGGTGTAAATTTCTTGTTTTGTATTTCCTATAGGAATGTTGTTGCACCATAGGCAAACTATATACATAAGGAGGAGTGGAATGACTAGCATGTGCTCAAGGCCACGGCCACGTATCACTTTATGTAAGTCTGTTGCTTTACTCTGCAATTCCATCTTATTAACGACGCCGGTCATCTTTCTTATAGCATTTTCTTCTAGCTGGCACTGCGAATATACACTTAATTTATTCAACTCTACTTTTTGATTTATTTGACTTGTTTTGAGATTTGCAACTCCAAGCTTCCACGGTCGAGTTGTCGTTAGGATAACACAATTATCACGAACGTATCGATGTGGGATATTATCCGTTACTTCGCTACAGCCATTATCAGGGTGAGTCCATTCATCAAGACCGTCCAATATAATCAAGCATTTTTCTCTACGTAAAACTGCCTCTAGTGACAATGATGAAGGGAGTTTCTTTGTTATTTGCTGTTCAATCATATCGTCAATGTTACAGACAGAGGTACAATCTCTCAATAAAACCAAAAATAAGAACTCAAAGTCAAATAACGTTTTCAATTCGTCGTCTTTAAAACAGGCGTAGTTTTCATCGTGACAATGAGCTTGACACCACGCGATTGCAAGATATTTTGAGAGTGCAGTTTTTCCAAAGCCTGCATCAGCTGATAGATAAATTTCTTGCTGATCTCCACTTCCATTTGAAAACAGGTTTTTCAAAGACCCGATCGGTATCTTCTCTTCTTTATAACAAGTAAGGGACTGTTTTACGGCAACTATATCTGGCATCAAGTAGAACCCAACTAGAGGTGTCTCTATTTCTTCAAGAAGCGGTGAGAGAGGTATTGAACTACATCTGTGTCTGTAAAATTTGATCAGGTCGCCTTGAAGTTCTGAAAAGAGAGTAGAAAATATTTTTCAGTGACATATCTTTCTATATAATATTAGCACTGAGAACATTCAGGTGCTAGCTTACTTCTATGTTGTATGTTTAGGATAAGACTTTGTATAGAATACAGAAGAAATAAATATTTTATATGATAATGGTTTATAACAATGCTATACAGTTGTAGTACATCTATGATGTTTATATAAGTGGAGTCACTATAAATGTATCACAAAAATTAAGTTAGAAAAGTTTAACAACTTTTACAACCATAAATTTAATATAAGAAGTAATTGTCATCCCAATTTTTCTTCTAATGTTGCAATTTATTTCAATTCCGTAGATCACTCACTTGATGACTTTTCCATTATGCCGATTGATAAACTTCATGATAATATCGGGAGACTTTTGTAATTTTAGACATATTGGATACATAAGTTAGAAACATTTGGGTTTGAATGCAAAGGTGCTTTACAAATTATATATATATACATTTTGTATTTTTTTTAATGCGTTTATTTTAGGTCGCCGCCGGAAAGCCCATATGGGCGACCGTACACTCAAGTCGGGCCATCCTAGAGCGTCCCGCCGAGATTTTTTCCAGCTTTATTTGTGGAGGAAGACCCCAGGTGCCCCTCAGGACATTATTTCAGGCACGAGCGGGCACCTATGTAGAACCACCGACCTTCCGTAAGCCAGCTGGATGGCTTCCTCACATGAAAGATTTCGACCCGAGTGAGGATTAAACCTACAGCGGTGAGGGACCTGTGATCTCAAGTCAGCGACCTTAACCACCCGGCCACGGAGGCCCCCTTACAAATTATAAAATCGTTTTTCAAGTATATACACTTAACAAATCTTATAAGTGTGCATGTATAAATGGTTTCATAGGTGTATCAATATTTGCCCGATCATGCTGAAATTTTCAATAAATACAGAAAAGAGACATTTTTATCATTTTTGGCCGGGTTGCACTGGTGCAAACCCGGGTTATAGTATGGTGAATGTTTTGCGGCGGGCGGGCGGGGAAAAAGTTTTCGTAACAGTTTTCTCAGCAACATCTTATCACAGCCTTTTTATGTTTGGTATACAGCATCAACACATAGTCCCATACTGTGGGATTCGATTTCAGGTCTGTCGCTCATCCACTTCCTGTTTGCCGACTTAGTTAAATTTTCTACATTAATGGTCAATAGTAGGAAATTTTCGTAACAGTTTTCTTGGCAACCACCTATCACAGCCTTTTGATATTTGGTATACAGCATCAACACATGGTCTCATACGGTGGGATTCGATTTCAGGTCTGTCGCTCATCCACTTCCTGTTTAGTAAAATTTTGACATACTTAATGATCAATAGATAGTAGGAAATTTTCGTAACAGTTTTCTCAACAACTTCTTACCACAGCCTCTTGATATGTGGTTCACAGCATTGACATGACTGTGGTCCCATATTGTGGGATTCCATTTCAGGTCTGATGCTCATTCTTTTCAGGTTTACCAACTAAGTTAAATTTTCAACATCAATGGTCAGACTGTGGTAGAAAATTTAAGTAATATCACAGCCTCATGATATTTTGTACACATATGCAACCCGGCCTTTTCTGTCTTTGACCCATTTTTATTCAGTATTTTTCATTCAAGATACAAATTTAAGATTTAATTTCTAAAATATGTGAATGCGTGTCGAAAGTCGATGTTGCAAAATCATGTCCTTATACTGTGTGTGCCCACCCTGACTGTGTATTACAGCCCGGGAGCGTCGTCACACCGATGTTACATACCGTTGTATATAATTGTATGGTTTATGATGAAGCTAGGTTACCAAAGAAGTTGCTCTGTACTTAATGATAAGCCTTCTCAGATAGTTTGGTGTACACCTATGCCAGGCGCAACCTGCAAATGATACAGACAAGTAATTACTAAATAAAAATATGCATTTTATGTTCGTCTTTGATAGAAACTGAATTTAATGATTTTCGGTTTTTACAATGAAAAGGAATTAAAAGAATTATTAAAACAAATAAATTATATTATTGTTTTTCTGATATGTCGATCTCTATCGTATCCGAGAATATCATGTGCAATCTTATTTCACCCATTCTCACAATGTTTTCGTGCATTGTGTGAATTTCGTTCGTTCATGGTTGAACGCACCTCATAATTAAAATTCGATGTGCATAAAAGGTGCACACTTATAAGGTTTGTTAAGTGTATACTTGCAACTTTTTACAAACTCGTCAATATCTTTTTTAGTACATATCGGCATAAAAAGACTGTTCTATTTTAGTAGTCATTCACTGTATCTAGAAATGTTATTAATTTATTTTAATCTATACAAATACATTAATTATGTCAATGATATAAGTATTTGATTACCTCCCTTTATTCACGCATATTTTTTATTGTTATATTTATAAACTACATTATTCATAATGTATTTATATGATTTTTGATTTTGTCATATTACATAAATTGATTTTGGGCATAATAACATAACTTAACTCCCTTTTTTACAATTTCAACATGTGATTAAAGCACTTTTTTTCTCTCGGAATTTTAAACTTTCACATAAGTAACTGTTATTTTCATATTTGTTGTAATTATTTCTATGAAAATATATGTATCTTTTGATCCAGTTATTTTATGTAATTCTTTTCGAAAATTATATATGCTATGTAAAAAAATTACGTTTATACATACATATGCACATGATTTATTGTATTACTTATTGTACAATGTAATATTATAACGTTTCTTTTACGCGCCAAATGTGACGTCTATTAACGTAGACGTTTGTTTTGTTCTGTACGTGTACGTCATTTTTCTTTACTGTATGTATCAACTGAGGAAGCTGAATAAAGCGAAACATGTTTTGATACTTAATTTGTGTTGGTTTTTAATCCAATTGTCCTATATAATATGTTTAATTTGCATACATTTTACAAAATACAATACTAATCGGTATATATACATATAATTATGTCAAACCCATAAGATGCATGATATTTTACATTTTCGTCTTCATTTATCTAATCAAAACAGACGAAATGTATTTAATTTAAAAAAACAAAACAAGCAAAACACACACACAAGTTATTCGTTTATGTGCATATACTATATCTTGAAATTAAAACAAATTAAAGTATATTTCCGGATAAAAAAGGGAGTTTGTTTTGACTTGGACTCGACATACCTCGCGTTTTTGTTGGGTAACAGTTTGGGGGCTATCAAGTGATTGTCTAAGCAAGGTAATCTATTTTGTTGACAATGTGGATAGTCTTAAAGTCAGACTGGAAATTTGGACTAACCGTAAATTTGGCATGCTAACTTTTTTATAAAATGCAAATGAAAGTAAAATATTCCAAAGCGATATGGCCTTGCAAGCGTTTTTTTATTTCTACCTTTAGGAAGTAAGAAAGCACACAAAGGGTGAAAGGGAATGTGTACGTACGAGTTAAAAGAGATATTTTCCTTCTATTTATAATGTAGATTTGTACTTTTGTGTTGTACTTTCCTCTTTATTTATTTGGTATAATTCCATGAACAAAACTTAAAACGAAAATAAATGTATATCTTACGTTATCATCGGGAAAAATTTATAAAGGGAAATAAATACTCGATGCATTATCTACATGATCTAATTCCATTTGATTTCTCCATAAAAAAGGTTATGAATATATTTGTATATTTTGAAAAGCATCAGTTGTCATTAATGGCGTTGTTCAAAGCGTGGTTGTCGCGGTTGAGAACTGTTCACTTTTACATGTTTTAGGGGAGAAGATGTGTAAGCGGGCGGATAGCTCCGGTACGGTATTTTGAGGGTCCCGGGTTCGAGTCCCGGTCACGCTGCACATTTTTTCTTATACTGTGACATTTTAATATCGTATGGTCCTATTACATGAATGAATGGTTGTTTATGCATGTAAAGGACATAAAAACATACGCCTTGATAAATAAATAAATAAATAAGATAAGATAAACAATTTCTGTCGCAAACCAAGAGAAATATTTATATCAAAGTGCATATATAAATACAGATCCGAAATACATAAACGATCGATGGAAAGATGCATGATAATGAAACATAATGAATAACAACAATTACCTGTAAAGGACATAAAAACATACGCCTTGATAAATGAATAAATAAGATAAGATAAACAATTTCTGGCACAAACCAAGAGAAATATTTATGTCAAAGTGCGCATGCGTGTGGTGGTTTTTCCGGGAAGTTTGTAAAAAAGGAGGCCCGGCATGAAAATTATGTCGAAAAAACAGATAAGAAATTTGTTGTTATAATGAAAAGATGATGAAATGGAACGATATAGGAATGATATGGGATAATGGATAGTATATCGGACTGTAGAGAAACATAGATAACAGACAAATACAGGAGATATATACTACATATACAAGGACAAAATGATACATAAAAATGACATGGTGTAATTACAACTAAATTAAAATTATAACTTCACCGCTTCATGTTAATAATGTTTAAATTATTGACAATAAAATTTAGACGGTCATAAATTTGTATGATACTGAAAACCCCGAAGGTAACGAAGTACCCTAGTTGTTCCCGGTCGTAACCCGGTCGTTCCAAGATCACCCGGACGTCTACCGGGGCTCTGCCGGGATGTAGGTGAGACCGCAGCTTAATACAAGTTCATGTGTGTGGTAGTTCATTTTCATATGAATTGTCGATTTTTTAAACAAAAACGACATTAAATGATTTGGAATAAGACCTATGACGAAACTGGACCACTACTAGTAGTAAATATCAAACTGAAACTGTAAATATCAGTGAACAATTAATTAATTGTCGTCTGCTATACCTCCGTGTCAAAAAGCATACTGTAAAGTCAATTTTTAAAACATACAAAAAATAGAATAAATAAAATTTCAGTAAAACAAAATCTAACTATTTTAACAACAACCAGAAGAACTAAAAATTCTGATATCAAAAGTAAAAAAATATATATATTGGCTTATCGTACATGTA